AGGGTGCACTGAAAAATTACTGTAAAAGTACCGATTTTTGGCCAGCCTGTTTTAGCATAGACACCCTGCTGTATAAAGAACCTCGACTTATTAGTCGCCATGCCGGGCATTTGAGGAAAAGGCGCCAAAAATTCTGCGATATTGCCGCAGGTACGGCGCGGCGGCGGAGAGAGGTGCCAGATACCACTGTGAGCTTTTAATACTCCCGAAAATAGATTAGCGGGAAGTTTTAAGTGATGTTGTTATCGCGGAAACTTGTTTGGCGACGCCGACGCCTAGGATTTTGTCGCAACGCGCCACCGGCGAAGACGCGAAGGCTCCCCTTAGTTGGCTAAAGAGCTACTCTCCGCCTTTTAATAATAAATTCAACTTCTCCATAGAGTGAGCAAACTGTTTGCCTTGCACCGCGTTGCTCATCTGTGCATCCGCGGAAACAAGGTACCTTCGCGACTCGGCGCTAACTAGCAAGTCCGGCAACACTGGAGGAGCCCAGGACAAAATGACGAAATTAGTTAAGTAACTATAAAAGGGATAAAGTCTTTTGACTTTTGAACCTTAAAATGAAAGTCAAAGACATCGGAGGGAGTCCATAAATTACACTCCGAGAAGATCGATGCCGTGGCGTAACGATTCGGAGGTACAGGAGGAGGAATCTAAGAGGGAACTTTCCTGTTCTCGGACCGAGAACTTTCGTGGGAAAGTTCCTAGATTTCTGGCTAAAATTTACTTTCAAGGAGACTTTGACAGAAAGATACACACATGCACGCATGACTACATGGAAAAAATTCTGTTAGGGATTGCTAGATTTCTGATTGTCGACGTTCTACACACGAAGGAAGCTAGGCCCATTCCTTGGTTGCAAAATTGATTCAAAAAATTCAATTTTTTTACAATAATACAAATGGGAAATTTCTGTTCAAAAGGTTTCTAATTTTACCGTGCGATCAGAGAAAAAAAAAAACAGTGAAATTGTTGGTCAGAAATGTCTAAAGGTTCCTCATTGAAAAATATTATTTCTATGAGGAGATTTTGCAATTATTGACATGTCGTTCCGTGTTTACGACTAAAAAATGACGATATATGATCCCTGGGAAATCTAAAGACCAGCAATGATTATTGTGAGTGTTCAAAATGCATTTAGTCACGTTTAACAGCCACGTAATAAGCGTTGTCAAAAATCTGAGGCACAAGCTATGAGATTTTTGGGAAGTACTCTTTTCGGGGAGATTCATCTAAAAAATGGAAAAATGACGAATAAAGTTTTCCCCCCTGATAAATTCGTGATAAAATAATATTAGTCACTTGGTTTAATTTTTTTGAAATAAAGTTCTAGGTGTAAAGATATTGAAGTGCAATAGAGAATTTGCAGGTGTCTGAAATTTAATGAATTTCGTGTTTAAGTGGAAACTACTGTGTGAACTGAACACGAGGATACCATTGGTTCATGAATTGAACAATTATTGGAGAATAAGGTATGACAAAATGATCTAATCTGCTAAAATACATGTGTTTAAATGGGAAATGCCGCCAGATCACTAGGCGGTACATTTTCTTACTTTTAAATCTATTTTTATACTATTTCCCATATCAGAAAAAAAACTATAAAAAATACTGTGAAATTAACTCAAGCACTTTGAGATTAATCAATAAAAAATTTGCATGCAAATTCTGAGCGAGGAAAAAGTACTACTAGAGAGCATGATCTCTGAATGATGCTGCAAAATGAATTCCTATACACACTTCAAACTTCTCGATTCCTAGAAAACTGGATGGGTGGAAATTCCCACTCGGTATGGCGACGGTGACCCAAAAAATACCCCACGTAGGAGTCTCACGCACAGCGTATTTTATTTTCTCCGGGCAAATTTTTCCGGGTCACGGCACAGGAGAAAAAGGAGGGTTGTAGACTGCACGTGTTTTCAACAGTAGACATGAATCTTCTTCTTCCCCTCCTCGAGAATCAAGTGGGACCTGGACGCCGAACGACCACCGCTCCTTTTTTTGTTTCGCAGGATGCTCCACGGAATATAAAAATAAATATGATAAAATAAAAATAAAGGAAGGGGAAAATGCCCGGCACCCGAATCATTTATTATTTTCGTTTTACACTGTCCCCTTGTATCAACGGGAGGCTCGATCAAGAGTCATTTGGCCGTATTTCTATCAAACGGAACTATGTGCAATATGACGTGAGCCCTGTTATGCATATATTCTTATGGGTCTCAGGGCTCATGTCTTAATGCACATAGTTCCGTTTGATAGGAATACACCCATTTCATCTCGAGAATCTAAGGATGCGGGAATTTTCGACATTCCAGGACTTTTTTGTCAGTCACTCTATTGTATTTTCTTCCTCAGACTGCTTATTTCATAGTTTCTTTCGGTGCTCTTATTGGCCAATCATTTAACGCTTTATACTCCAAGTTTCTCAACACGTTGCAAAAACTTCTCATCAGAATACGCGAGAATTTATTGGCTTGCGTAACGTATTTCTCGATCAAGTATGTGGGATTTGTGGCGTAGAATCTTACTATGATTGTATGGTTACATTTTTCAATAAGGAGCCACTGTCTCTGGCTCTCCCATAAAATCACATATCTGCAAATAGAAACTAATGGAATGTATGTTGTTTCTAAAATAGGCCGGAAATAGTGGTTCCTCATTGCAAAATGTAGTCCATATGATTATATGATTAAATGAATAGAGTCTCTCCAGCAACGTAAATGCGCATCGCAGAGGAAGCCAATACGGCGTCCGAAAATATCCGTTCAAATATAGATGCACTTTTGACCGAGCGATTACGAAGTCGCGCAGTCAAAAGTGTAACCGGGGCGGATATGATCGGACGCCATTTGGCGATGAGCGTTTGAATTGGAGCTCAAAATATGTGACTTTTAAATTGTTTTTAGTGTGGTAATTTTTTTTAAAAAAATCGGGGGAACTCCCGTGCACTGTGTACAGTTAAAAATGCAATATCAAAAAATTACCGAACAAACTCAGCAGTCTGTGTTTCGCAACCAAAGGTTCACCGATAAAAAGATTGTGTTCTTGCTTGTGTTACTTTTAGGCAATGTAGAGAGTGGAACCTAAACCAACCTAAATTTTGAGTTCATTTTGGCATATTTTACGGTGAATTTAGCGCAGAACACAATAGAGAGTGGAGGGAGACAGGAGGGAGACAAGGAGAGTCAATAGGAGAACTCCCAGAGTTAACCGGAGGCTCGGGTTATTTTGTGTTTTACTCCCCATATTAGCTAAAAAATTTTGATTACTTTTTCATTGTGTACTTTATCTAGCCCATTCTAGAAGCAACGCACATGCCTTTAGTTTCACGATGCAGATGAGTGCGACACTGGAAAGAAAAACACATTGGATCTAGAGTCCAGACTCTTGAAAACATTGACAAGAAAAAATACTCTTGATTCAATCGGATTTTTGCTTGAATCAAAACGAAATCCGCTTAAATTAAGAGGCTTGGTTCTTGATTTAAGTTAGATTCTGATTGAATCAAAAGTACTTTTTCTTTTCGATGTTTTTAAGAGTCTGGACTGTAGATCCAATGTTTTTTTTTCCTGTGTATTGTGAGTGAGGCAATAATAATAGTTCCTAACATTCCAACATAAAATCAAACAACCGCTCACCGCTTCGAGGTCCAACTTCCACCTCCCATTATCGCCCCCCGCCCCCTCTCCACCCCCACCGTCGCCTTCCGCCCCCTCCCCACCCCGAGGCGCTTTGCGCCTAAGGCGTAATACGATACGCGTTCTTATGGTGTTATACTATAGGGTACTATAGGGTATGGTGTTGTACTATGGGGTTATGGGTTTCGATAGGTCTATTGGACTATTTGCTAAAAGGAACTATATGCATAGGATTTGCGTGTAACATAGTTTTTTATAGCATAAATACGTTCTGTAAAAACTTTACAACACTGTATAGTTTTCAGTTGCTAAGTGATTTCTCCCTGCTGTCCTGTATATGCTGTTAATATATAAAAAGTTATTGCGATCCAGTTTGGTTTCCTCCGGCATTTGAGATTATTTATTTACTGATTAGTTTAGCTATTGAAAATAGCTCCATTTGGTGACCTCGACGTGATTACATACTCGAAATCTCTAGTCAAAGTGAAAAATAATAAGGAATTAGAGTGAAGATGAAATGTTTGTAATTGAGATAACCTAAAAAAAAAAATAAGAGGGTAAAAGTAGACGTTGCGTTTAACACTTTGACAAGAGCATTTCTTACTAATTGAGGATGCAGTGAGCGGTTTTCGCCTCCATTCGATAATAATATGAATGCAGTGAGCGGTTTTCGCCTCCATTCGATAATAATATAAATGCAGTAGGCGATATTGTCGCATACAAACTGAGAGCTTAAAAGCTACATCATAGAGAATGTAGTGAGCGATATTTTTCGCCTCCATTCCCGATGTGAACTCATGAATTAAGCTTGGATAGAAATAAGATTGCAGTGAGCGATATTTTCGCCTCCATTCTTATCCTTGCAATACTTGTGTAAGACCTGGGCCTAGGCTTCTCATTCGATCGGACAGAGGCGGTGTCTCGACACGAACGAAAATTCTAAAATAAAAAAAAACGCATTGCTAGGTACATTGTTGCCAGGCAAACTTGATGATGGATTAATGTCATTTAGACTGCACAATTTGAAAATTTAAAATTGTGTAAATCCATTTATTGATTTGTAATGCCGTTGAAAGCGGTGAAGTGCGGTTCTTAAAAAATAATAATGAAGAGATCAAGAACTGTCAAGGCATCGAAAGCTTCGCGAATCAGCCCAACGCATCCCAATACTGATCATCATGAAAAGTTGAATGGATTATATTAACCTCAAAAGAACAATTGGAGCGTCAGCTGTTGAATTTTAAGAAATCTGTGGAAGGTGATGTTTCCTCACTTTCAGCAATAAAAGCGCGGTATGATGAATCCGCGGCATTGTTGCCACATTATTTCAAAATTTTGCGTGAAATAAAAAGCATTGATATGCAATATGGAAACAATAGTCATGTTGATGAAGATAACTTTGATAAGTTTGAAAGCACTTACTATGAAACTGTTGGAAAAGCTAAAGAATTGTTGGAGACGCAACCAAGTGTGTTTCCAGTAGCCAAACCTACAACGGCTTTGAAAACTAAATTAAAACCACCAGAATTACCGACCTTTTTTGGAGCTTATGAGCAATGGCCTTCGTTTTTCCAAATGTTCAATTCTTTAGTTCATTCAAACCTGAACTTAACGGAGATCATCAAATTTCATTATTTACGGTCGTCTTTATCAGGAAAAGCCCTCTCTTTGATCAGAAGCATCGACTTCACGGAAGCAAATTATCTAGTTACGCTTCAAACTTTGAGAGATGAATTCGAAAATAAGAAGATAATAATACGCAATCATTGCGAAGCGATAGTCAATCTTGGTTTCCCCACATGTATTTGTAAGAAAAAGGAAACATTAACAGCAAAAGATTTAGATAATATACACAACAAAATCAATCAGGCGGTACAATCACTGAATGCTTTGAAGGTGGATACTACCTCTTGGGACCCACTAGTGGTTCATTTAGCAACTGCAAAATTCGATCAAAGCTCACTGACGGAATGGGAAAAGGTGGTGCCTACAAAAGATCCCCCAAGGCTTCAAGAGCTGCTTGAGTTTTTAAAGAAACGTTCATTTTTACTTGAGTCGGTAGAGCGCAGAAAGTCGCAGTCAATTCCGAGGGACTAAGATCCAGATCTTCCGCAGATCTAATTTCGAGAGGAACAGATGCTGAAAGCTTGAAACTTTCAACAATTTGGTGGAACGGACCAGAAAACATGACACAGCTACATGACAGAATGGAAATTCGACCCTCCCAATTCTCCTCATCATGGTGGACTTTAGGAGTCAGCAATAAAAATATTCAAATCGCAACTGTATAAAGTAATAAGAGCAAGAATATTTACTTTACAGCAATTAACGCAGCTTGTCCCTCAAATTGAAGCTGTGCTCAATTCAAGACCTCTGGTACCCTTGTCCAGCGCCCCTGAAGAGACGTATTGACGCCAGGTTATTTTTAATAGGAAGACCTCTCACGTCTTATCCTGATAACACACCTACAAAGCAATCTACAAAAATTCTACAGGCGTATGAGGCAATACAGGAAGGATTCAACATATTTTGGAAGAAATGGCAAAGGGAGTATCTTCGACACATTCAAACATTTTCCAAGTGGCACTCAAAAAACGAATCTCCGAAAATAGGATCGTTAGTCGTAATAAAGGATAGACACTGTCCCCCGATGTTTTGGAAACTAGCAAGAATACAAAAACTTCACCCAGGATCAGATGGCATCACAAGAGTAGTTACATTGAAAACAGCAACATCCACACTAGTGAGAGCCATCACTGAAGTTTGTGTATTACCGTTAAGTGATAACTAACTTAAATTTAATGTGCTTAAAAAAACACACACACAGTTTTTACTGATGAAATTTCAATTTCAAAATTTTCAAATTATTACTTTTACCTTTTTACATTTATTACTTCAAAATTTTCAAATTTTTAATGATATTCAATCTGTATACATTTTTTAAGGGGGGAGAATGTAAAAACTTTACAACACTGTATAGTTTTCAGTTGCTAAGTGATTTCTCCCTGCTGTTCTGTATATGCTGTTAATATATAAAAAGTTATTGCGATCCAGTTTGGTTTCCTCCGGCATTTGAGATTATTTATTTACTGATTAGTTTAGCTATTGAAAATAGCTCCACGTTCTATTAATACATCAAAAAAGGCGATAAAAAAGGTCCGATTTGGAAAGATCTCGGCAACGCACTCTGGATGAGATCTTGGCACAATATGCGTCCCGCCAGACCGGATCTCGGCGTGAGTGACGCATTTAAATATGTTTCGTATTAGTCGCTACAGGTATTATATATATAATTTATATATATAAATTACGGGGGCGGCGCCGCGGTGGGCGCGAGAAGGGTCTCCGCGACGTGCGAGGCTCCTCCGGATGCCGGAGCAGTCATATTTAAGCAAGAGACGTCAAAAAAAGTCCCCGGTGTCGCCGTGACCATCCCTTCGCCGCGCTCTGCCAATGTCAGACTCTTGGTGTTTTCCCGTAAAACTGGCAACGCCGACAGCACCCTCTGGAAGGGCTGTGCTCCGCGTAATCACTTCGTATAATTCTTACCTGCCTCACACTCTAACATTGGCAGGTTGCCAGGTGACGCTTTTATTCATACGCTCATCATGACGGAGGAGGAGAGATCCGCCGCACTATGGTCCACAGACCCTATTTAACGGAACTTTAGTCAAATTTTGAGGGTGGGAAAAATTAAAGTTTGGCACTACAGTTTTATAATACATACTCTCATGGATCGTCACCTAAGTTTTCATCGACAAATAATGATTTATAAGATTGTGACGGACCCTTACAACAGAGCGCGCGACAGGTCTTCATTAGTTGATTGTGAGCCGCATTCAGTGGTGCGTTACAGGGTGTTCATTTTACCGAGTTACGCCTCATCTATGTAAATTTTTGGGTAACATGGATCCACCTGATGGCAAGTGACTTCCTTTTCACCCCGTTTCATTAATTTTGAACCGAAATTTGTATGCTTTTGAACGCTCCAAACATACGCCAAAAAATGCTAGAAATCAGTGAAATTCGTAATTTTTAGGAAGCTCTAACTTTTTTTTAATTCTAGTTAATGCTTTGCGGATTGAAAAATCTTGTTCAACATATCCTAAAGTTTAAAATGATGCCAATTTAAATTGCGCCTTTTTGCGCCTAACGGTCGAAATCAATTTTTTTGGAGTGCACCTTCGTACACCAAAATGTGGAATATTCCATGCATTTTTGGCGTTTTTGCGACTGTTAAATTTTTTCTAGGTACAAAATAAAAGTATTCCGATATATTTTGATCTTCTGAGTCCAAAAATGACCTTTGTTTTTTCTTATCACCTCTCCCTTTTCCGAAAAAGCGACGTTTTTCCGGGAAAATGAGCAATTTTGACGTATTTTTGTCATAATTGCAATTCATGTTGATAAATTATACTGGACCCGTGGTACAGCGATTCTGTCATGTATATTAAGCTGCAAAATCCGAATATGACATAGGTTTTGGTTTATCACCCTCCAGTTCTCCGATAATGCCGATTTTTCCGCGCCTTTTGGGTATAACCTTTCCCGGACTCTAAGTGTGTTAAAAATACGGTTTAAAATTGATTTCGATGTTTGATATATCGATTCTTATGTATTTTGACTTGCTAAACCCAAATATGACCTTAGATTTTTCCTATCACCCCTCATTATCCCGGAAAATTCAATTTTCCTCGGAGAACGAGCTTTTTTGGTATTTTTGAGACGATTTTCCGTATTCAGAGGAAAACGGGGGGTTGTAAGAGGCAAGTTGAGGTTGAACTCCGGTTGAATTTTTCTCAAGACGTCAGAGAAGACCTAAAGAGGAACTTGGAAAATCGCTACAACTCCATAGAATAGGAAAATCGTCGCAAAAATACCAAAAAAGCTCGTTCTCCGAGGAAAATTGAATTTTCCGGGATAATGAGGAGTGATAGGAAAAATCTAAGGTGATATTCGGGTTTAGCAAGTCAAAATACATAAGAATCGATATATCAAACATAGAAATCAATTTTAAACCGTATTTTTAACACCAGAGTCCGGGAAAGGTTTTACTCCAAAGGCGCGGAAAAATCGGCATTATCGGAGAAATGGAGGGTGATAAACCAAAACCTATGTCATATTCAAATTTTGCAGCTTAATATACATGACAGAATCGCTTTACCACGGGTCCAGTATAATTTATCTACATGAATTGCAATTATGACAAAAATACGTCAAATTTGCTCATTTTCCCGGGAAAAAGTCGCTTTTTCGGAAAAATGAGAGAAGATAAGTAAAAACAAAGGTCATTTTCGGACTCAGTGGATCAAAATACATCGAAATAGTACTATTTAGTGCATGGAAAAAATTTTACCTACATGTTGCAGAGGTCAACGGTCGCAAAAACACCAAAAATGTCCATTTTCCCGGGTAAAATCGGCTTTTCCGGAAAATTTAAAGGCGAAAGACCAAGACGGAGGTCATATTCGGATTTACCGCCTAAAAATACATGAGAATCATCTGATCTCGACCGAGAGACACTTTTGTTATTATTTTTATACATGTCAAAATAGGGTGGAAAAAATCTTCAGTCTTAAAAGCGCCAGAAATCACATTTGAAGTTAAGTTTCTCGGTCAGGATGTTACTATTTTGTTAAACTAAGATGTAAAATGAAATCAGCGACCCAAAAAACATAAGATCCAACACCTTTTATAGCGGTGCAGTGCATTTTCGAGTAAAGTTCCGTTAAATCCACTCTGTGGACCATAGTGCGCCGTGCTAAGGAAGAACGCCGTATGAACATTCGGGCGTTGCCAGATTTTTTACGGTTAATCACCAATTTTCTGGAAAATTTGTAAAGATTTTTCTTACGATTTTTCCGATAATTTTGTTCTTAACTCCACCTACAGTTCCTGAAAATTTCAAGGAGAAATATTCATAACTTTCTTCAAAAATAACTATTTTCTGAGAGGAAATTTGGCAACTCCCGAAAGTTCATACGGCGTTTTTCCTTGGTACGGCAGAGGCAGTCCATAACAGACATATTCTAGGGCCTTGGACCTTGGTGTAGGAAGGATCAGGATCACGGAGAATGCAGCCTGAATTGAATCAGTGAGAACGAAAACACCAACTCGGAAAAATGAAAAGAATCAAGACACACGCGAAACCGAACAATAAATGAAGAAAATAGTCTAAGAGAGAGATTTTTGGTGCCGAAATACAAGCACTTAAGGGAATTTTAAAGGTCCAGGTTGGAACAGATGCGCTAACTTCAATGACTTTTATAAAAATTGACCGTCTCTTGTGAAAATTGAGCAATTTCGAGTTATCGAGTTGGTGTGTTTTCGAACTCACTGATTCAATTTAGCATTGAATAATTTTGTTTTTTTATTATTTTTTTAAAGTTGTTTTAGGTTCTATGAATAGTTCAGTAGGCACTTATCCAGTGAGAGAACTGAGCCTTTAAATACGATATATTTTAAACACCTCGCTCTGAAATTTTCCGCACAGTGAGAATGTTAATCTCGAAAGTTAACGCTCTGATTCGCATGATGATGACTGATGGCCGAAGATCTAAGCAATTGGTTATGTGATTCTGTCGTAATTTGCAAAAACTTGCGCAGCAAAGTAATCATACTGACAATCATCAGTCATCATTAACCCTTCACGGAAAAAAGAGCATGGAGTTGTTGGATGGCATGGGCATTTCCAATTGATTGTGGTGGCATCCCGATAAATTAGGTTGCGAACCCAAATGTTTCGGCACCGACACAATTATTTGAAAATATCCATATCATCTAAAAAATTGAGGTGACCAGAATTAATCGAAAATTTCCATATCATCCAAGAAGTTGAAGTGGTGCCACAATTTTTGAGGATTACCCATGAGACATCGTTTGGTTTCAGGACATTCCGTCAACGATTTTTTGTCCGCGCACCTGTTTTGTCCAGTAGTTTACGTCCACGCGGAAAATAAAAGTTGTGTTGAAAAAAACCATATAAAAATGAATAAAAATGGGAGAAAAACCAAGATGCATGCATTCGTTAGTTTTGACCCGTATGACTATGTACATCGATCTTTTAGAGTCAAATACGTCCGATTTAGAGCTTTTGG